ATACACAGTTGTACATCTCCGTGTCTCCGGATGACTCTCAGTCAATGGATGCACTTTTTAACTGAATTTTAGACATCGAATCCTGGATGGCAGAGAACTTTCTCCAGCTCAACCAGGACAAAACTGAAGTTTTAGTCATTGGTCCTGAGGCCCAGAGAGAGCAGCTTTTACCGAAATTACAATCTCTGTCTTTTAATCCATCTGAACAAGTGAAGAACCTGGGTGTGATTTTTGACTCTGAGCTGACTTTTATCCCACACATTAAAAATATCACAAAAATAGGTTTTTAACATCTAAAGAACATCGCCAGAGTCCGCCCCATTCTCTCTCGGGCCAATACGGAGACGTTGATGCATGCTTTTATCACCAGTAGGATAGATTACTGCAATGCCCTGCTTTCTGGTCTTCCCAAAAAGAGCATCTCAGGCTTACAAATTCTACAAAATTCTGCAGCACGTGTCCTGATGAAGACCAGGAGGCGGGAGCACATGACACCAGTTTTAGAATCATTGCATTGGCTCCCCGTATGTTTCAGGATCAATTTTAAGGTTCTTCTAATGGTTTTTAAGTGTCTTAATGGTCTTGGGCCTTCTTATCTATCAGAACTGCTTTTACAATATGAACCCTCACGGACTCTGCGCTCCTCTGGCAGGCGTCTCCTGGTCATCCCTAAAGTCAGGACACAAGCGAGGCGTCCTTCCAGTGTTATGGCCCTCACCTCTGGAACGAGCTGCCAGAGGACCTCAGGGCCGTAGAGAACGTTCATGTTTTTAAGTCCAGGTTCAAGACCCATCTTTTTAGGTTAGCTTTTATCTAAATATTTACTACAGTTTTATTTCTCGTTTTACATGATTATATTTTATTACTTGCTTTGCATGTTCTATATGATGATATTTTAGCACAGTTTTTTTATTTAAATTATTATTCTACTGTTTATATCATTTTATTTATTACTTATTTTCTAATTTTTGTCATTTATATTAGCTCTTTTATTACATTTTTACTCATTTTAATCCAGTATTTCCTCTATGGGGGCCCTCTGCCCCGGGAGCGGTGGTCGACTGCAGGGGCGGATTTAGGACTGAAGAAGATCCGGGGCTTAACACACACGCGCGCGCACGCGCACACACACGCGCGCGCACGCGCACACACACGCATGCGCGCACACACGTGACACGCACTAGTCAACATCATATATATTTGTCTTGTACCACATAATGTTTAATCTGAAGCTACATATTCAGCATATTCAGGGCAGAGTATTGTTCCTGTTAGTGTTTAGTGTGAGATGATAGTGAATATTCCCTTTCTTTCTCCAACAACTTTACCTGATAGTAAGCTAACTTTAGGCAAACCAGCAGCACAACAAATATTTTCAAATAAGACTCACAAACCTGAGTCAACACCAGTCTCATCAGAGCTGGGGTTCTGTCGTTGTACTTTTGGTCTAAAAAAACGTCCTTATATCCATCTTCACTCATGCGTTTCAGACAGAGACTGCAGAAGCCAGCTGCTGAAGGGCTTCTCTTCAGTCTCAGGTAAACTGTATACTGACTAAGTAGCCTAGTGGTAGAGTGTCTGCCCTGAGATCGGGAGATCAGGGGTTCGACTCCTGGTCGGGTCATACCAAAGATTTTGAGAAAAATGGGACCCAATGCCTCCCTGCTTGACACTCAGCATTGGATTGGGGTTGGATTGGGGGGTTAAACCACCAAATAGTTCCCGAGCGCGGCGTGTCTGCAACTCAGGGGATGGGTCAAAATCGGAGAATAAATTTCACCACACACCTGTGTGTGTGACGACTAAATGGGACTTTACAAACTACTGCCAGCTGCGCCCTCTCTGTGTGACTTTGGTACTGCATGTTACTTCCGCGATTTAGATCCGGGGCTTATCATGAAAGATCCGGGGCTTCAGCCCAAATATCCGGGCCTAACGCCGCCCCTGGTCGACTGTAGCTTCCTGGGCGCTCTATAGATGGGGGTCTATGCCCCCCCCTCCAATGAGCGCCCTGACTTAGTGTGGAAGACCTGATGCTGCCGGGACAGATGGCTCCTCTGATGGTGTTTCCTTGCGTTACCATACTTGGCTCATCTGGACTCAGCCTAATATAATTTTTACTTGTGTGTGTGTGAGTCTGTGTGTGTGTGCGTGTACGTGTGATTGCATGTGTTTGTTAATGTTTTTATCCTGTTATGGGAATCTGGGGTCATTTTGTAAAGCACTTTGAATAACACTTTGTTTGAAAAGCGCTTTAGAAATAAAATTTGATTGATTGATTGATTGATTGTAGGCCATCCTTTTTCCACTTTCTCTGAGGATCTACATGCCCGCCTACAAGCCCGTGTGACATCAGAGAGCCAAGGCTCCCTCCTAGGCCTAGACTTGCAAAGCTTAAGAGGGGCAACCACGTCCAGGACCTGATTACAAAATAAATCAATGTTTTGTGAATAGTGATCAATGTTAGATGGATCTGGGTTAAAGGTCTCTAACCTTACAGACATACAGTCCACAAACTTTGCAACAGTTTCTGCATCCAGGGCTCTGTACCTAGTAGCTGGAGCTTCACACACAGGGACAGGGCATGGCAATGTAACAACGTTACAGAGTATTGAAGAGTGGTCAGAGAACACAGGGGGCAAAGTCACAAGGTTCATGACAGGGAGACCAAAAGAGAGAACCAGGTCCAGGGTGTGACCCCTGGTATGAGTTGGGGACGATACCCATTGAGTTAAATTGAATGAATCTAGCAAATTCAAAAAACCTTTAGAGAGCACATTGTCAGGACAGCAGATATGGATGTTAAAATCACCAAAAAATAGGACATAATCATATTTTAGGATGCAGTCTGCCAGAAGATCACAGAAATCATTAAGGAAGTTAAGAGTCAGTCTTTGGAGGGCGATAAATCAGCACGACGAGCATGCGGGGGGAGATGCACAGTTCAAATAGGCACAGTTCAAAAGAAGAAAATGACATGGTGGGTGTAAGCTGTTTACAAGGAAAGCTGGATTTTAAAACAACAACCAGCCCACCACCTCTGCCCCTTGATCTAGGGATATTAAAACAGGAGCAGCCAGGTGGTACCAGCTCCAGCAGGGCGCTTGAGTCACCAAACGGGATCCAGGACTCACAGATGCAGAGAAAACCCAAGTCTTGTTGAATAAAAAAATCCCGAAGAATAATAGTTTTGTTCAGCATAGACCTGGCTTTGACCAGACCAAACCGGGTCTGCGGCGGGGCTGCAGCACCGGGATCGCGCACGGCCATAGTCTCCTTTAACTCTGAGCCCGTAACCGAGCGTAGATTCTCCCAGCAAACCCCACTCTGGCGAGATCCCTGAGCCGATTGGTCGTGGCGCGGTGCCAGCTCACCCTCAGAGCCGTCAAGTTCACTAGGCAGGGTGCAGAGTAATCCATAAGACATCTCGGAACCACCGGGTCAGAAGCTGGGCCGAATTGGACCAGCCGCTTCTTCAGGGATCCAGGAAGTCCAGCCCGACGTCTCACGCGCCGGCTACCTCTCTTTCCTGGTCTTCTCCGATGCTTCCTTCTCGAGCTGGGGCGGACAGAGGGCCGACACATCACGGCTTGGGGGGAGAGAGCACATGGGCAGTCCAAACAGCAACGCCATCCGTGAGGTTCCCAGCGCGCAGCACCCACTACATTAACCGGAGGACGAAGCCTCAGCAGCGCACCTCGATCATAAGTCATCAGAGAAGCCACACAATTCAACAAAGGCATCAGAGACAACAAAAAGACATAAAAGCCAATAAAACACCAATAGAAGCCAATAAAACGCAAGGTTCCATTGCATAAGGAGGGCGAGCAGCTCTCTGCGTGCACCCACGCGAGCTCTCAACTCCAGTTGAATGCAACTTTCTGGTTCGTGCCTCACTTTTTTTTTTACAGCTGTGGCCCAAAACTATCTTTTACATGGATTTTCTGCTTCCTAATCACGTGACGTGTGACGTTTGCGGATGAAGATCGGCTTTAGAGCTGAGATGTTTTTTTTCTCACGGTGCAGGGGCTCGTCCGACGCCCACACAGTAAAAATGCTAGTGATGACTTTAGTCATCATTGGCAGTGAACGGTTGGATTTCAAATGATGACTTTAGTCGTCAATGGCAGTGAATGAGTTAATGCTATGCACACACCTTGCTTCTGATCGGCTAACAGAACTTGTTCAGCTGTGTTGCAAAGTCAATCTCCGTTCTTGCCCCATGCTGCAAAAAAATGTTAAAACAGCCTTCCTGTGGGCAGGCGTGAACCAAGATGGGCAAGGCCATGAATGCAAATTCACAGTGTGACATAGAAGTGTGGATTTTCTAATCCTAGAATTTCACAGTCTATTTCAGGGGTGTCCAATCCTGGTCCTGGAGGGCCGGTGTCCTGCATGTTTTAGTTTGAAGTCTGTTTCATCACACCTGATTTCAATCAGCAGCTAATTAATAGGCTTCTGTAGAGCCTGATGAGCTGCTGCACAGGTGTTTCAACCACTGAATCAAGTCTGTTGGAGTAGAAAAAACCACAAAACCTGCTGGATACCGGCCCTCCAGGACCAGGATTGGACACCCCTGGTCTATTTTCTATCAGAAGCTAACACAGGAGATAGGTGGAGGTAGGCAGGAGATGTTCAGCCTGCACGAAAAACTCAGAGTGACCCATAATCAGAAATAATCATTAAAAATGTTTTATTCATTCAACCATACCTAAAAGATGGCTTTTAAGACTCCAGTTTCTGCTATCCACAGTGCCCATTAGTTTAATAAACACACAGACACACACACACACACACTCCTAAAATTATACTTCCATCAGACTGCAGTCCAGATGTGATGATGGCTTCTAGTGGAAGAAAATCCAGAATCACATGATTTGTGATTCAATCATAAGTTGATCCCATAAAAGGTGAAGTTATGAAACTGAACGTTTTAGGAAATATTTGGAAAATCTGTATGCTGAAGTGTGATTGAAATCAATCCTAAATGTTTTACACAGGCTAAATGGTTCAACGGCTCCATGACTCTGAGCAGTAACGTTGGCTTCTCTGTTGTGACGTTTGATGGAGCTGTGGGCGGAGCTGTGGAGCCTCGATCATCCAGAAAATTCTTCTCTTTTGATGAACATGACCGCCGAAGAGTGGAGGAACTGCGATCCTGGGCCGTCAGCCAGGATGTCTGCTCTACAGTTTCTGCAGCAGTCCCTCTGTCTGGCGTTCAACCCAAAGTCTACTTCGATCTGACATGCCAGCTTCTGGCCAAAGCCCCCATCGACACTACCTGCATGCTGCTAAGGGTAAGACATGAAGATCGGAATCCATATCGGTGCATTAAAGCAGACATTCTGAGGTTTTGTTATAGAGTTCACCACCTAGAGGTGGAAAACGTTTTCACCTGTAAGCCCCTTTCCCTGCATCCGTGATGTCGCTGTAAGTAACAGCTCTTGTTCGTGAATCCGCACCTCTAGCGGGGCAACAGAGCAAAAACGTATAGTTTCATAATTATTATTCTGACATCATTTTGTTTATAATTCATGTCCATAAGAAAGGTTGTCAACTGTAACGGAATGAAATGAATGTTTTACACCAAAAGTCATTTCCCCCCTCTCCTCTGACACAGAACTAGTCTGCATGAGATATGGCCTCAAGGTCTCATGCATTTGTTATAAACTGCTTTCTTTCCAGCTCAAGAGAAGAATGAAGAATGGACTCCCTCCTTTTAATAAATCAAAGAACTCTATTTTAATAAAGCTAATCAAACAAAGTTTTAGTAAATAAATAAGATGTGACCAATCTGTGAAATGAAAATATTAATTACTTTATTATAATCCTATAGAATATAATAAGTAATATGACTTTAAACGTTTCCACTAGGACTGATCTCACATAGCGTTAAAAGACATGGCACATTGCTTTTACTGATCCAATCAGAATCTTCCAAATCTGACAGAGGCGTGGTTTTTGGTGGTGTTTGGTAAATCTGTCATCTTTTCATTCGACCATAAACCAAAACATCCGAAGTATAAAACTATGCCCACGTCATCTTTAACGCCAGTTCAAAGCGTTCTAGAGAAGTTGTCGGAGAGGCCAATCCGTAACTTTCCTTTTCAGCCAAAAGAACCAACGACAAGCTGGATAAAATCTGTTGCTTTTCCAACTGCTGCAACGGTCTTTTATGTCTTATGGCTCATTAAATAACGTGAATTAACTCATTACACAACCCTGCATCTGTTCCTCATCCCATTCCAATGTGGGGATCCTTCCACTGTTGTAAAGCAGGTGAAAACAAAAATAAAAAGTGGTGTATTGCTTATATTATCACAGACTTTTAGATTTCTTAAACGTCATTCATAATTCCTGAAAAGGGAAATACTCCAGATTGCTGCTTCAATTTGAGCCACAGGGATATCTGCTTTTTATTCCAAATTTACCTAGCCATTCTTCCTTTTCATAAATTATGTTTCATGATTTATTTATTTTTATCTTTAAGTACTTTTATATACAGTGGATTGATTTAATCAAGAGTTGAACAGTAAAATATCCAAAGCACAGAGGAAACTAAAAAAAACATTTTAGTTCATCAAACATACACTTAAAGGTGCATTATGTAGAAATAAAGTTAAAATGACATTCTGTGGTAAAATTTGGTTACTGCAACTTCTTTAAACATCTATGGAGGTTTTTACTGGCTGTTGGCGCTGCAGTATTAGCTCGCGGGAGACACGAAGACCCCACACTCACTGATGGTAAACAGTCAGTGTGTTTACATGCACAGAAAACCCAAGTATTGCCCTAAAAAGACTCATGTTGTTATTTTTTTTTAATTTAATGTAAAAGTAGTCTCCCTGAAGGCAAACTGGTTCTAATCGAGCCGAATCACCCAGATAATGTGGTAGCAATTCCGATTACAATCTGCATATAAATGGGTTAGCCAAACTGAACTGGTTGGACGTTCACATTCCGGAAGTGTCACAAAGCAACAGGCGTATCACCATAAAACAGGACAGCACGTAACAAGTAAGCTGTGCTGCAGCGTTGTACAGTCCCTCAACCATCGTGGATATCCTGTTTCTAATCACTCCCGCTACCCTCTGTTTACTGCTTGTGTTGCTATAAGCTAGCTGGAAGATTGCTGACATGAAAGGGGTGTGGAACAAACTTCATTTGGGAGGGCGGTTTTCTAATGTGCATGTAAACTAGGATAAAGACTCCCAGCTTGTTACTATAAGATTGGCCTGGATCGACTTAGATGTTGGTCAGTGAGTAGTTGCATCCCTCCTTCCTTTGTTTTGAAAGCAGAAAAACCGACAATCCCCGCAGCCAGCTGGATATGAAATATGCTTCAGAATAACATTCCTTCCAAAATGACAGAAACATTAAACTCTTTAGGGATTTTCTCAAAGTAAAATTCTTACTATGTTCTTACATGCTGCACCTTTAATATGGTAAAAACTGTAATTAAATAAAAAGTATTTCTGTCTCTCTGTAAGATCAAGTCCCTTCTCTGGTGGTGTAAGAATAAAACCGAGGGTTCTGGCTGAATCCTCACAGTTACCTAAAGCTTTACTGGACCTGAAAGACGTTCACTCTCAGCCTTTACCATCTGCTATCTACCTCTTATTTTTAGCCACAGGCACCAATTTCCCTGCTCCTTGTTAGGATGCTAATCTGCCCCTGTGTTCCTGCCATTTAAAGTTGTGTTTAACATTTCCTTAAATTCTTACCTTTTGTGGTTCTTCCCTTTTCCCCTGTTTTTCCTTCTCTGTTTTATGCTTATTATAGTAAATTATATGATGGCAGCTGAGTGTTTTATCTTGATCAGTGGAGTTTTACCTGCCTTGTCAGTTAGCAGAACAGTAATCAGGATGTAAGCGGTGGCTGGTTTGCTGCCAGTGAGGCTGATAGAAGAAAGGCATTTCAACAGGATTTGGCAAAGCCTGCTGGTCTGTTGCCAGTCGACACGTACAGATTTCTGAAGCCTGTTCTCAGCTTGTGGTTACACCCTTTATCCCCACTAAGGCCTCGATTTTGAAATAAACCACAGGTTTGAGCAAAACATAAACATTCAGCTTGTTTTGTCCACTAACTGTTGTGCCAACAGCCCTTTCTTGGTACTGTCTTTACCACACATAAACAAGCAACCTTTTCTCTCCACAGACTGTGATATACAGTGATCCCTCGCTACTTCGCGGTTCGTTTATCGTGGATTCACGACTTCGCAATGTTTTCTTTGGAGCGTTATTCAAGGGAAATTTGCCGATTTGCGTTATTTTTCACCGATTCGTGGTATTTTTCTATGCGAAATACCAAGAAATTCCTGGGTTTTTTTTCTCATAAATTTAATCATAAAATGCACTTTTTGTAATAAAACTATAAAAAAAACAAGTAAAATTTTTTTTCTATGTAAAGGGAGGGTTTTAAAAGTCTGAATACTGAATACGCACCTGTTAAATAAATACTGTAAATATGGTGTCCCTACTTCGCGGATTTTCACCTATCGCAGCCAGGTCTGGAACGCATCTACCGCGATAAACGAGGGATCACTGTATTAGTGAGACAGAGTGAGGGAGAAAGAGGGGCGTTGCAAGCCTTTTTAAATTGTGGGTGTTGTGATTTCTCTGAGATATATATATATATATATATATATATATATATATATATATATATATATACATATACATATAGAGAGAGAGAGAGAGAGAGAGAGAGAGAGAGAGAGAGAGAGAGAGAGAGAGAGAGAGAGAGAGAGAGAGAGAGAGAGAGAGAGAGAGAGAGAGAGAGAGAGAGAGAGAGAGAGAGATACAGGCCAAACTTCTTCACACAAGTCAATCTGACACTGTGGTGCCGATATGAAGTCTATGAGCTTGAGCCAATATTCTTAACTAATCCAGCGTACGTCACAACTCCAGGCTGCAGAAGACGCAGGACTTCTTATCTATCCTCTTTGAATAAAGCTTGTGTTCCCTGGTCCATAAATTATTGTATAATTCTAGAATTGTGGTTAGCAGGGACAGCAGTAGCTCAGGAGGTACAGCAGGTTGTCCAGTAATTGGAAGGATGCAGGTTCAATCCCGGCTCTGACCAAAGTGTGCTGCTTTTGTGTCCTTGGGCAAGACACTTAACCCACCTTGCCTGCTGGTGGTGGTCGGAGGGACCGGTTGCACCAGTGCTCGGCAGCCTCGCCTCTGTCAGTGCACCCCAGGGCTGCTGTAGCTACATCGTAGCTCATCACCACCTGTGTGTGAATAAGTGAATGACTGATTGTGTTGTGAAGTGCCTTAGGGGGTGTAGAACCCTAAGAAGGCACTATACAAATACAGGCTATTTACCATTTATAAGTATTATGTAATCATATTTTGTTGAATGAACATTATGTTTAAATCCAAAGTGTTTTAATAATGTGTCCAATAGGGCTGCAACAACCAATAAATAAAATCAATAAAAATCACTGAACAAATGCCTTGCCAATGCATTTCTTCAGTGATTCGTTGTGTTGTGCAACTTTTTTTCGTGTCGCTCAACCTTTATTTAACAGTCAATGCTTGCAGCTCACGTAACACAGTTACGCCATTGTGGACCAATCACAGAGCTCTATAGAATTGAAACCCTTATAGAGAGCTGTGATTAGCCAGCCAGAATGCTGCTAGGGGCTGTGGAGGTTCTAATGGAGCATTCCTAGACCAAACTTTGCAAAGCAAGAATTTGGTCTAGTTCACTAGGCTAGGCCCAAGCGGGTGTTGATCTGTACAAACCAGCTGTTTAAACTCACAAAAGCTGCAGTTCAGAGTTGTGTGTGAGCAGAGCGCACCACAGAAGTGAGCTTGTAATGAGCGCACATGTTTTTACTGCTTGGGCAGTGCGGAGCAACTGGGAAACGTGTAGCAATAGGGCGGGGAGGGAGAGACAGCAAACACAGCAAGAGAAACACGGAGGGACCAGACTGATAGTAATGTTTTTGAGCTAAACTGCAGAAAAAGTACCCACCTCCCTGATGGGTCCAACGCCCATGGTCCTTCTGCTTCTGGGGGATAAACCACAAGTTCATATTGGTATTAAGATCTGGGGAGTCTCATGGACCTGGACCCAACGTGTTGATGTTTAGTTCTCGATCTACTCAGATTTGATCAACCTGGCTGGGTTCTCCATCACGCATCATTGCTCATCACTGAACTGTTGCTGGATGTTTGGGGTTCCTCTGGGAGAATGTTTAAATGCCATCATTTATTCATTGCTCGTCTGAGGGTCAACTGTGAGTGAGTCCAAAAGGGTTCAAATGGAGGCAACTGGACTTCTTTGGTTTCTTGAAACCATTTGAGCGAGTCCACTTACTTGGCTGAGCACTGCCATTTCTGCTCTGGTAGAGCCGCCATCCCACAGCAAGGTGGTTCTGATGCTGCTAGACCTTTTGGGAATCCTGAAGTCTTCCTCATGAGACTGAAACACTCCCTGAAGTTTTTAATAATTGTTAAGTGTTTGATTCAGGTCCAGTCTTGCTGGTCACCTGTGAATGCATTTTTGTGCAGAGCAGTGAAGATTACATGTTTTTACTTGAAGGTAACCATGTTAGCTAGGTCAAGAACAAAGATGTCAAGCTTTGCAGAGTGTTCGAGCATCTGCCCAGCTGGTGTGACTCAGCCGCTGTGACAGTGATCTCCAGCCTTGGTTTTGCTAACCTGTGTTGGTGAGAGAATCTCTGAAACGACATAATCAGGGTTATTTGTGGCTGAATTGTAGAAGACCTTGGGATTTATTGTTTTTCTGTAATTGTGAATGATATGATCAATCTTCATAACATTCTAGGTCATGTGAAATGAACGTAATAAAATGTTTTGATGATTATTCATGTTTTCCTCGAAGCCTGGTCATTGTTGTACATGTGGTTTCTAAATGATTGAGGAAAAAAATGTTCAGGTCTTTTCCAGACTTTGTTCTACTTTTAACCAAGAATCCGACCCAAAGTGCTCGTTGGTTGTAGTTTGTATCATTTTAATTAGTTTTTCCTTCCCAGGTTTGGGATGGAACCAAGTGTCCTTACACTCAATCTGACGTCACCATTGACCCAGACACCATAGAAGGGCCTGCTTCCTTCTCTGGGACTAAAAAGAGCTTCATCGCAAACATTCTGGTCTTCGACAACCATGTTGTTTGTGCCAAACAGTTGAAGGTAAGAATTAATCCTATTATTTATGGGAATTCTTCCCATATGTGTTTTCTTGCAGAACACTTGTGTAGCTTTATTTCAACTGTGTGATGTGTTGATTATGGGGACATTAAATCCATTTTTTTTTCAGTTTATTTATCTTCATTTTTACCAGTGATTAGTTCTGTGGTGTAGCGGCCTATTAGTGACTGATAGCAGTTTCTACACAAATCCACACTCTTTGTGATTTCTTGTTGTTATGACAGAATACAATATTTTTATTTGTCTCTGAAAATTCATAAACAGCTCCAGGTCACACAAAGACAAGCATTCTTTCCTCTTTTTACATCAATTAAAAGCTCACAGACGAATCCATGCATTCCTTTGATATTTGCTTTAACTGACGTAAACCTTAAAGGTACAATATGTGAGAATTCTGCAGTGAAATAATCACAACGCCTAACATCTAACGCCTCAGTCATGATGGAAGGAAGGTTACACCGAAGCAGATTTCCTTCTCAGCGGGCTGGGTGCTTGTCGTTGCGGTTGCAGTTTACACTCAGTGAGCCCATGAGGCTGCCGAGTCTGCGCTGAGCTTCTCTGCAGATTCAACACCGGCACAGAAGCTTGCAGCCTTGTTAATCTTCATGATTTTTCTGTATAAATCGTTGGTTGTTATGATATAAAATAAAACACATGCACACACACATGCAAATGCACACACACACAGACACACAGACACACACACACACACACAGAGACGCACGCACACACACACACACACACACCACACACTGATATTTGAGAAGTGAAACAAAGTTTAGAGGATTTACAGAAATAGTGCAATAAAAGGTCTTGATTTTTGGATTTGAGATTTTGTATCAGCAGCAGCTCTTTGATGTATTAGATTGTTTTTTGAGTGTCTTGTTTATTTGCAGAGTTATCAGGTTCACTCAGCTGTATTCTGAAGAAAGTGTGGAGAGCTGCAATCACGGGCTAAAATAGGTCCTTTACTGAGAAAGTATTTTTATTTATTATAAATAGTCTCTGAGACCTATCTGCTGCTTTAGCTTCAGATAGAAAATAGACTGTGAAACTCTAGGATTAGAAAAGCCTGACTGATCTTTCTTTTTCTTTTTTTATTTTTCTGAACATGTATACATGACACAGTGTTTAGTAACTTCTTGAACAGAAAGAAGTGTGTATATAGATTCACATATACAAACACACACACACACACACACACATATGCATGCATATTTACATACGCCATCCATATAAACACCTACACCCACAGACATAAGTGTGCACCCACGCACGCATATTCTTTCATGCTCAGAGAATGAGTTCTAATTAGCATAGTTACCAAACAGTGACATTATCAGTCGGCTGTAATTGACACCTGATTGAAGAAGTAACAGCAATTATCTCTTTCATGATAATATACATATTCTAATACCAAAAATGATGTTCTATATTACACTGTCATTCAAAATACATCTTCAAAAGGAGTAAGAAGAAGCTTCCGCTTATTTAATCCCACGCCTTCACAATATCCAACCACTAGTTAGAGGTTCATTTAATTCATGTTTTTAGTTATGAATAACAATCTTCTTAAATATATATTTATAAATTTACTTCATATGCATATGTACACATCCTTGCACTACCATATAGGAGAAAAAAATATTATTATTATTATTACTACTAATAATAATAATAATAATGGCATTAAAAACAACATTAATAATGATAGTAGTACTAATACTGTCATGGACTTTATCAAAATGTTTGCCCATAACCCATTTCCTGTAGTGAAGAGAGAAGGAGACAATGAACAACAAGTCAAACAGTTATAATTGTGGCGAGATGCCTGAGGCAAGGGCCGCGAACATCCGAGAGAGAGAGAGAGAGAGAGAGAGAGAGAGAGAGAGAGAGAGAGAGAGAGAGAGAGAGAGAGAGAGAGAGAGAGAGAGAGAGAGAGAGAGAGAGAGAGAGAGAGAGAGAGAGAGAGAGAGAGAGAGAGAGAGAGAGAGAGAGAGAGAGAGAGAGAGAGAGAGAGAGAGAGAGATTATTGTCAACTTTTTTTTTTTACCGGGGTTTACCACTGCACCTGTTATCGTGACAACCCTACCTGATCGGTCTGCTTTGATCTATTTTGAAAACTCCAATCAAAACCGATAGGGGCGCTATCGGCCGATTAGGATCAAATGCTGATCCATCGGTGCATCCCTACTTTCTGTGTTAGCTCCTGCTGCACCATTTAGTTGTGTAAACCTTGTAATCCCCTTTACTTTAAGTATCAGTGTGACTGCTTTGACCTCAGATGTGACTTTTGTCAATCTTTGAGTTGTCAGCTTTGATTTTCTAATACTGCCACCTATTTCATGCTTTCCATACTGCAGTAGAAGCCATCTTTGTGACATCCATTAAAAACAATGGCTGTTGGGGAACACTAGCACCCTGGTTCCTTCTGGGCCTTCAGATGTGCAGGTCTGTTGGGATCAGTGGTTCGTAAAAGTACAACAGGGTGTCACCTGTGTACAAATGTGTTCATTTCAAGTGATGTTATTCAAAAACGTTTGGTGATTTTGATAAAATTGACTTGTTTATTTGTGCTAATTAGCTCTTATTCTAATAGTGTGCTCTAGTTCTGACCCAGCCAAGAGGTTATCTGCAAACAGAAGAAGTCGAAAGACTGAGTCTTTACTGGGCTGTACTGATGTTATTTTAGTAGAAAGTTTAACGTAAAGAAAAGTGACTTTTTATGGTACCTTTTATTTTGAATGAGGATATGTAGATAAATGAATAATAATACAATAATTAACCTTTTAAACTGAGAAAGCTAAATAATGCTGGCACACACGCTGATATGTTCAGTGTCTAAAGCATGAGAAACTAATCAGGAAAACTGCCTTCATCATCATCATCATCACCTTTGTTCTGGTAAATGAATTAAAATTAAAGAGGAAGTTACACATAGCACTTCCTGTTTATTAATAAAGGCATCTGTGTAGAGATGACATTCTCCAAAAGCACCACAGGTGAGAATGTGCCTTCAGTGGCAATAAAGTGACTGCTCTCTATTCTGTCTGGTGATCGTTGAGTTTGAATGCATATTTACGACATGGGGCATCTGCACAAAAATCTATTTTCACACTTCATGATTTCTGTTACTTGTCAGCATGTTTCACTTGTAATCACACTTGCATATATTCAGCTTTTGCAGCTCTTATCAAGTTAAATGTGAGAAAAGACACAAATAGCACAGAAAGAGGAAAACTGAGGAGGAAGAAAGTGTGAAGGTTTTCTGTGGAGATGTTTGCTGTGTGAAAAGGTGGCTGAGGGGTGAAATTTGAATCTGTTTATTTTAAATGAGTCCTCCAGTAGAGAACAGCGGCAAGGATTGTGGTTTTGTGATCATTTGGAGGCTAAGTGTAATCTTATCACAATAACACAGGAGGAGCATTTGTTGTAAGACACTGGAGGAATTTATATTAGCACAGATACAGTTGTGGTTAAACGTTCTCTAGTTCTGTAGTTTTATATCTGTGGTCATACAACAGTCTCACAATGTTGTTAAAGGATTGTAGACTAGTTTGGTAACATAAGTTTGGTCCTTTCATGTTTGCAGGCATCCATGCACATCACATTTAGGGTTAAGCCTGATTTATGCTTCTCCGTCTGCGTCAGTGTGGAGACACGCAACGCCATTATCCGTCCTTGCGTAGGGCTCCGGCAGGCACGCAAGTACGTACGGAGTCGAGCTCTCTTTTTTAAACATCCGTCGAATGAGACGGATTACGCAAGCTTGTGATTGGTCAGGATGCCGCAGTTGTTTACAGCGCCGCCATTGCAAAGAGAGCCGATGGGAACTAGCGGCAGACACGGAGAAGTTTGAAGAATACCTTGCGAAAAAACTCTAAAAATATGAACGTTTCATTCTCCCGTGACTGGAGGAGTGAAAAGATTTGCAGCAAGCGTTTTATTTGTGGACGGAAATGACAGGAAACGTGGGTTTAGAGGTGGGGAGCACATGAAGTGGTGGGAGAATGAGAGACAAATATGACTGTGTTAAAAGTCTCTTATATACACAAAAAACACAATATAAACACACTATCTTGGACCGATACATGACAGGATGCCACAGAACAGCGCTACGCCCTCTGTTGTCCTGCCGGGCAATTGCTTTGCAACACTCTCCAGGAGACGGAGAAGTATGAAAGCAAAACGCTTCCGTCAATCTGTGCATGTCTGTCCCTTGCGGAGCTGACGGAGAAGCATAAACCAGGCTTTAGTCATAATGTTTAATAGCCTGGCAAGCCAGACTAAATAAATGTATTATTTAGTCTGGTCACGCTTGTATTTAAATAAAAAGTTTTAAAAAGCAAACACAGCAGGTCTCTCTCACACACACACACACACACACACACATATATATATATATATATATATAATATTATATTACACACACACACACAGCGGCAGGCTGTCACTATCACTAATGTAGGTTCTGTGTTTCTTCTATGCAGCAAACATATTGATGAAAGGAAAGTCCAGTATCCTCATTCTGTTCTCTCAGGGACATTATCAGATGCATCTAACGGCGCACAGACGAACCGAACCGGAACCGCTCTAAATACCGCTGCAGTGGCTGGAATTAACGAATGTTTTAAAAAGGTCGTACGGCCACATGTGCCTTTTATTTCCTTGTTTTGTACTCGAAACAATGGCGCTAAATTAAAGGCGTGTTGGCTTTTCTCTACTAAAAAGTTAGCTTAACTAGAAGTTAGTTTGTCGGTGATGACGTTTATCATGAAAGTTATTGGACGAATAGATTTCCCATCATGCTTGTTTTAGTAAAATAAAAGAATTATAACAAAGTTTTACTGGCAACAAATGTAACACTATCACTACCTAACGGGGACGGATCGTGAAAAATTCTGGTTTTTAGTCTTTTAATACGATGTGTTGTGCATTTAAGTGTCCAGGCGTGTAAAAAGAATTAAACTAGTCACTTCAGG